GCGCGGCGACGGATTCAAAGTATCGGCGCGACGCCGACTTCAGGAATTGAGCGATGGTAGGCAACTCAAAATCTATATGTAGCTCACGTAGCTCTGCGCAAGAATCGATTCTGAATGACCTGAAGTCGGTGTATTTGTTTCGGAGCGATGTGCGCGAAAACCGGACTCGCGTAAGTCAGAATAGAACGAACTTTTGCCTTATATAAGGGCACCTTGTTCCGGAGGGACATTTTTGACGTTTTGTTGAGGAGCGGATAGAGGCGACCGAGTACGAAGGCCGCCCGGTTCTTGATCTGAGTCACGTGCTGGCTGAATTTAAGTTGGGAGTCGAGGACAACACATAGTTATTTGACTTTGTTCACCCATGGTACCGGGCTATCCATGAGTTTAACGGGGGTGGATTAGGTACATTTCTTTGTGTAAGAAAAGGACGGCCGCGCCTTTGACGGGATTGATCTCGATCCTCCACCTCCACCCCATGAACGGGATGCGCACACGCCCGCGACGCGATAGCGAAAGGTCCGCTTACTTAGGAAGTCTCGTATTATGCATACGACACGCTCGGGCACCCCGTAAGACGGTCGAGCACTCCGTAGATCAGGTAATCCGTAACAACGTTACTGTAAATATTTCTAATTATTAACGAGAATTTAAGTTTGACAATTAACTGTACATTGTTTGTCTTACGATAAGAAGGATTTTTCAAGGTATCTCACATTTAATCCAATTATAAGCAACCAACAAATAAACCATTAAATGGTTTGATAATGGACAAGTCAAATTAATAGGAATCTAAGAATATACAGTTATACTAGTGGACCCGACAGACGTTGTCCTGTACACATGACTTAAATCTGACAATAACTTATGAATAAAAAAATATTGTAGTGAACCGAATTGTTAAGCTTAACCATTCTCGAATCGACCTGAAGACACTCAAAAATTTTCATTAAAATTCGTTTAGGAGGAGTTCTGTGATATACACACGCACAGAAGAATTATGTATATAAAGATGCTTTACCCTAACTTTATAAAAATAACTAGAAAGCGAGATTGCATGGATAGTCTTTCGTCACAAACATACCGTAACTCGGAAATTTCCAGTTTGTTTTGTTGCGATGGGAATTTCACAAAGTCCAAACCGCGTGAAATAGTTTACTGAGGTATTCGCGCTCTAGCCGCTTCGTGTAGAGGTGCCTTTATGATCCTTCCAATTTCTCGGTCACCGCTTTTATTACGTTGGACCCTCTTTTGAAGGGCGTTTATGTATATACGGTATCGCAAACATGTGGAGTAAAAAAGTCGCCCTGTGCTATTTTGATACCTTGTGTCATAATCATTTTATTTATATACAGTATTCATTTTAATTATATAGTATGTTCCTATGGTTTTACGGTCTTTTTAATTACTTATTCTGGCTATATAATGTTTACATACCACCTGACCTGTCATTTCGTTTTGTCCAACAGTGAAGGCTGTTGCACGGACCTATCACATTTCTAAGATATCCTCTCAGTGATTGGAGCTCCAGGCTGGAAGGCCCCTCTATATTTTTCAACGCGCCTCGGCACGATTGCTAGCCAGTAGAAGCCTATAAGCCAATTCCTAGACACCCTCAATGCCTTCTGGGATTTCGCCCCTTTGCAATGAGCTTAAGCACACCAGATGAAAAGCTAACGTACTAAATTAGCTCTATATACATTAGCAACGTGGGACTACAAGAGTATCTTCCTGTGTTCACTTTGACTGTAGATATCTAATCTCAAAAGTATACCTTAATATATCCGTAGTAGTATTTTGACACTGTATAAGTGTTATGCTAGAGGTATTTTTCACTTTCACTTATTGCATAAGGTTCTTTGAATTTAAATCTATAATAAGGATAACTGCCTGGCTTCTAGGCTATTGAGCTGGGACGTTACACTGCGATCTCAAGGTCTTCTCTTCAAATCCTAGATTCGCACACCATGAATTTCTAGTTTTTTTACATGCAAAAATTACCTTTTGTGACCGGATTTAGGGGGCTAGTCACGTTTGAGATGTATTATGCTTATCGATACGTGAACAGCATTTGCGATCCCTGCTTACTCCGTTTTATTATAAAGAAGAGTTTAATTATGTCATAAATAGGAATATTGAAACGTATAAAATGTTATATGTTAACCAATTTCGAACAAACAAATTTAAAATTGTCGCTTGTGCGGCGTATGGTTCGTGTTTGTGTAACGTGTCAGGGAAGCCACAAGTGCGTGAAGGCTGTGTGTGCAAATGATGGTACAATTTTCCGCCTTTATTGAGATGAAGTTGGGCTCCTGGGGCCTTTGCGTGGTACACCGTTTCGCTAGTCTCCTCTTATCCCAGCTTTCGGTCGTTTTGTAAAATGACATCACCACAAACAAAATTACATATATAATACACAAGTAGAATATAATTAAAAAAAAACTAAAAAACCCGACTGCGTTTCTATGTATGTATATCTTTTAACGGTGGTATAGCCACGCAGCAGCCTCGGCTGTTGAACGAATGGGCAGGCACGTCCGGGTAAGTACCACGACCTCACAGAAGACCGGCCTAAAGTGGAAGTATGACAAATACTTTCACGTTTCGTCTAGTGAGTGAGGTGGCCGGAGCCCAATTTCCAAAAAGTTTGTCAACGCATCTGCAAACCCTCGGGTGTGCAGATGTCGGTGATGCAGGTGAACCGTCTGCTCTTTTGGCAACTTTTCACATAAAAAAAAATGTTATTTTTTATTTTGATATACCCAGTGTCACTCGCACAGTAAATACGATTTTTAATAAATATATTTCTTAGATACCTGCTACCGACTCGAATGTGGTTTTATATAAAGCTTTAACAAAATCTCGGAAGTAAGGTTTGTGAAGACTTGGCAAATTTTACAATAATTAGCTATAATAAAGATTTTATTTTTGTTGATATCTACTTTTTAGTACTTTTAAAATATTTGTAAGTTTTGCACGGTAGTGAATTTTCTTTTAATGGTATTATTTATAATAGTGGTATAGAAAATCCTTGCAACAAAAACTTTCTCGTTTGTGGTATAAAAGTGATATAAGCGAGAAAAGATTCTATTAGCTTTATACATAAAACGGCTGGCGCCATCTTGACTTGTGTTGTGACAATTTGCGTGGGCGTTCGTCGTCTAAGTAGACGAGTACGCCTCGTTTACTTATAATTACACTTCATATTTTAATTAAACGCGAACACAATGAACACTTAACACTGAATTCTGAGCAAAACACAAACAAGCTAAGAGAGTAAACAATTAGTGGCAAATATTGTTAGTTGATTAGCAACAGCCAAATTTGTTTCATTATTGAGTTGACTATCAGAATTGACTACCGCATAGACAACAAACGGCCCGTTTGTATTAAACTATCGCAAAACTGAGTATAGATATATCGTCATTATTTTTATCTCATCAATTAGTGGTCGTTTTTTTCTCAGAACTAATGACTTAAACAGATTTTATTAAAAATTTGTATCTTAATTAAAGTTTAAAACTTAAAAATTTACTCTTTTTGTCCGTACCAAATAAAACAGCAAAAAATTTCAGTACGCCAAACACTCATCCTTGCAAGTTTTAACCTATCATTACTTAGATGTTGTCTGAATTTTATTTATTGAATCAGTTTGTTAGTTTTATTCGTCTTATTACGATTTTGAATACATTTCATTATGTAATTGTCTGTTAAGGTAGTTTCCAAGTCACGTTCAAATAATTTCCTTCTAGATTAAACGGGACGAGATCAGGGAGAAGTTTGGTACTGAACGATAAACAATTGATTTATAGATGACGTTTAGTACAACAAACTTTAGTGATCGTTTCGTTTATTAAGGGTGATATAGGCCCTAATAATACGTTACATAAAATATGCTATTTACCCAAAATACGTTTTACTGAGTTCAAATATTTCGATGACCTTCACCACGTTATGATGTGACCCATGTGTATAAACAAATTATCGATACGTACACCATACACTGCAGCCATGGTTTGATACACGTGTAACCTAATTAGGCGGCAACTTGCGATGTACACGTTCCACGCGACCGTTTCGCCAATCGACGCCCCCACAAGTCCCCCCTCAACATAATGGATAATAAAATCATGTTTATGCAAGGTACACCAAATGCTTTCATACGTATTTAAATTTTATATAGAAACGCGATAATGGCAGGTTATATTAAATTAGCGACCAGCCCCGGTTTCGCAACTGTACAATGTATCATACATATAAACCTTCCTGTTGAATCACTCTATCTATTAAAAAACCGAATCAATTTTAAAGATCTAAGCATACATAGGGACAGACCGACACGACGATTTTGTTTTATACTATGTAGTGATAAAGTCATCGTACTTTCCCAATCAAGGTTGTAATTAACGTGTAAAATACATTTGCTATATTGGCAAATTGAAGAAAGATTTCACCGATCCATAAAGAATTTAATTTCAAATTAGTCTATATTCATTTTGAGGGTTCCTTACCCAAAGGATAAAACGGGACCCTATTACTAAGACGCCACTATCTGTTTGTTCGTCTGTCTGCCTGTGTATCTGCTGTCTGCCACAAGGTTGTATCTCATGAAGCATGATAGTTAGACAGTTTAAATTTTCACAGATGATGTATTTCTGTTTCCGCTAGAACAATAAAATACTAAAAAACAGAATAAAAAATACTTTAATGGGGCCACATACAAAATTATTTTTTGGCCGTTTTGTAGATAATAGTAAAAAATGAATGAAGGAAAATGATTCTGATTGGATAAATATTAATTTTATATCCAAACCATCTTGCATGTCGTTTGGATTACGACATAATTAACTTCGAAGCTACATATTTCGAACTTAAGGTTGTCGCTATAATCCAGACTTGCGTATCGGTCTGGATTATAGCGACAACCTTAAGTTGGATGGTTTGGATGTAAACGATATGAAATGCTAACATAAATTCACTTGGGTCTGAATTTGTTACAGAGACAGGCGAGGGCGGCGGCAGATCGGTAAGTTGGAGTGATTTATTAAACGGAATATTCCGTCCACGTGTAGAGTAATAAAGTTCAGCCACATAAAAACAACGGCGTCAATATTAAATTGTAGTTTTTTTTTTTTATTAATCCTTATCGTTTGGTTTATTGAACGATATATTCATATTTCTAGATTCATATTTAACTAATGAAAACGGCTAAACAGAAATTAAAATTAAAGTTTCCCAATGTAAATAGCTACAAATAATTTCAAATCAAGCGTGCTAATCGATTACAATCAAAGGCATATCGACTTTGTAACGAAAAGTATAAAAAGGGTTACGAGCGAAAATTTTTTGACGTGAAGATATTAAAGCTTTTTTTAGTATAAAAGAAGTTCGTATATTCCAAAAGCGAGCGGCGTTAAGTATGCAAATAAGATTCTATTACTTTGACGTCGGCCACCGACACGAATTCTTGTGTATTTTTAGAGTTTCGTTAAACTTGTCTGAGTACAGCTGCTTGGGATTCTGTTCGAATATTAATAAGAGACTATGTTCAGAATATACATTTTTAACAGATCTGCGTTACATTGACAACATACAGATACATTTATATATTAAACTTGAAAGATGAAACCATTTTTTAAGGATTTATCGAGTTTATACATTTTGCTTATGCATAGATCGGACACAAAATTAATAACACACAATAATTCCTAAAAAATTTCCAGATAACGCACAATAATTTGAATTCCCGATAAAATTAAAAATAAACGCGACAAATCCGTAAAAAAAAATGTTTCATTTATAATGTGTTATCGCGTAAATATAATAAATTATCGTATTCATAGATATAATATCGATTTGTCACATAGTGTCTTGGGTCACCACGGTGCTATGGTCATGGGTTCGAATCCCAGTGGTGGGCACAATTGTGTTTCCAGTTAATTTTTGAGACGAAAGGGTAAATTTTTAAATAACCTCCTGACAACCAAATAACCCACCCAATATTCTGCTGGTTAACAACAGGCTAACAATAAATATTCGACATTTATAGTTTATGTATTTGTATATGTTTGCCCTTTTTATCGCAAAACTCAAACACGAAGTGTGCTGCCTCAGTAATATTTAATTAGTTCACCAAAATATACTTTTGAAGTTAAATACCTCAGTGTTTGTTTGGGTTTTAATAAAAACCATTTCTAACTAAAATATAAAATTAAATCACAATATTCGTTGAACAAGTTGGTGGTACTCTTAAAAAAAATAAAATAGTTCTCTTTAAACAAAATTAATCATGCACTAAGAATTACCAACATGATATGATTATATGAAAGGAAAATTTGATAGGGATTTATTGACTGTAAGAAATAATCATAAGACTCGGTATTGATTTTATTTGATAGATTAGTATAATAGATTGTTTTCTAATTGAAAGCATTACGCAGTGTGTCATTTTCAATATTGTTGTTATAATATATATTTTTATGACTTTTGATTATGTATAAACCAATAAATCTTCCTACGATACGCTACAGAAAGAATACTGCTACGAAATTCGTAGCAGTTTGTACCAAAGTAGTCGTATTAATGATCAATACACATTTGATACAAATTACTACGATGTTTATATTGAATAAGTATTTTTTCTTTTAATCATTGTTAAATATCAGGAGTTTCTTTGATTTTAAATACTTTCTTTCAGGATATTCCCGTAGAACAATTGGAAAAGCTTAAACTTCGTGAGTATTCATAATGAGATCATAAACACTGCTTATAGAAACTATGCTAATTATTACACCAGTACTGTGGTGGGACCACGCAACAGTCTTCGCTATTGCACGAATGGCCAGGTCTATCCGGATAACCACGACTTAATGAAGACCTGCGTGAACTGGAAGTGCTCTTTTGCGTATTACTGTTGCAACAAGCTCACAAATTAGTACGCTAGAACGGTTTTATATGCCACATCTTTCCACTCGCTTTCCTGCAATCTATGGGATTGATTTTGTGAAAAGGGACGGAAGTGTGTAAATGTGCTGTTATACAGCGTGTCGTTGCCATCGCGACAATAAATGAACACACGTCTAGCGCTACTTGCCAATAATCAAAAAAAAATATTAACGTTAAACAAAATCCATAATTAAAAAAATATATTTTTCAAACAAACTAATTAAGTAAAAAAGAAACAAAATTTGTAACATCCTATACAACTCGCGCCACAGCGTCGTATTACAAACCTCTCCTTCTAACAGTATGTTTTGTCTCTTTTAAATTCATTCAACCCATTCATCTGCTTTGTGACCTTTACAAATGAACTTTACGTTACGCTTTTATAGGTAAGGGTGTTCTAAAATTCTTTGTTTTGGAAAATTTTATAACTCTGTAAATATTGATGTTTAAAGAATTTAAATTTTTAATACAACTTTAAAAAGTTATCCCCTATATGTGTGTTCGATTATTGTCGCGATGGTAACGACACGCTGTATAATTAATAACATTACTTATTTATTTCTGTAAACTATATCGATAACTGTTGCTGATTATCGTCTGAAAAAATGCAAGTGAGTAATAAAGAATGATTAGTCGAATAAATATGTTACGAATAATATTTAGTTTTGGACCCTGCTCAATTGATATTTTTAACAAAAAAAAAAATACAAATTACTGAACTATATCGTTAATATCATTGATATTAAATATTCATAGTTCTAATTTAATTGTATAAAATAAATTTTTGCCAAATTTCACCGTGCATTTAAATATTCAATACAAATTATTAGTTAAATTTTCATAATAATCACAAAGCATACATTCAAATTAACTCACGATCACTGAGAAGAAAATGCCTCGTCACGTACGGCACGTAGTTTCGCGAAATAATTGGATCCAGTAGCTTCCTCGGGTGGGCATGCGTAAACTAAAATAGCAATTTGTCAGCCCTCACAGACCATTATACAATATTTACTTTGCATATAAATTACCTCTTATATATTACGAACAATTTATTTTACAAATAAATACACAGAGTAACTAGTACTAATGTACTAATACTATTTAAATGTTATTAAAGTGAAGCTTTCTTTGAACTGTTTTTCTAGTATTTTGCTCTTTATTGGCTATTGCTGTATTGTTGATTTTTTTTTATGTGAAAAGTTGCCCGAGCAGACAGTTCACCTGATGTTAAGTGAATACCGCCGCGCATGGACATCTGCTACTCCCGAGGGTTTGCAGATGCGTTGACAACCTTTTGAAAATTGTTGAATTAGACTTTTTAAAACAATTTATTGTGATATTATAAATATACATAGAATAAATTATGTCATATCATCTAAAATGTCAATTTAAATTTAAAATCGAATGCAATAAATGTGGTAAAACAGTTTTATTTTCAGGTTCAAAATGATTGTTATAATTTCAGTTATTTTTATTATTCACAGGAACACGAGAGAACTGTACCGTCGTTTGTAAACTTATTAGTCAAAATTTTAACATACATTTGTCATATATATTAAAAAAAACTACTTCATGGTAAAATGGCAATGAAATAATTTATTGACACTAATTACATTGTAAATCTGGTAAATTTACAATGTAATATATAGTATATATATACAGTCGTTATAAATAAATAGTTTTTACGACGTATTGTGATAGGGCTGTAGGATCTAGAGAGAAAATTTCTTGGTCTATTTCCAGTTTTCAACTAGTAATGAGCCCGTCATCTTAGATTCTTGCAACGAGGAAATGTATTTTGATTAAAGAGTCACTAGTGGTTTCCACCAGTTCTACAGAAACATTCAATTAACCTATCGATCGAAACTAACAACAAGGGCGAGGCGGCCTCGCGCCCGACGGATTCCGTACAATTATCTATAAAAACGGCAAAAAAATCATGTCTGTTGTATGGGAGCCCCATTTAAATATTTTTTATTCTGTTTTTTAGTAACTATCACGATTAATGAGATACAGCCTGGTGACAGACGGAGAGCGGGGTCATAGTAATAGGATCCCGTTTTACCCTTTGGGTACGGAACCCTAAAAAGAATATCAAGTAAATGTGTACGAGTCCGTACATGTGTACGTATTATAGTACGTATATAATAGTAATGAACACGTGATGCTGCATAAAACATACGAATAAAGTATAACTGATCAAATGAACACGCAATGGTCAATGATTAGAATAATTGAAATTAGCTTTACTTGAATGTAACACATCAGTTGCCGAAACTTTGCATTCTACTTAAAAGTTAACGCATTCAATCACGTCGTATAATGACAACGTAACATAAGTAATAGACTCGTTAAAACTATAAATGAGCATTCGCGCCAAAACCAAAAATTTCATCCACACGCGCGATTTTCAAGGCATTTCCTGCCTCGCACAACTACTCTGTGGAACCAGCTGCCACCGGCGGTCTTTCCGAACCGTTACGACCTGGGAACCTTCAAGAAGAGAGCGTACTCTTTCCTAAAAAGCCGTCAACGCGTTTGCAAGCCCTCGGGTGTTGTAGGTGTTCATGGACGGCGGTATTACACTTACCAGCAGGTGAGCCTCCTGCTCGTTTGCTGCTTTTTTCGTCATAAAAAAAATTCATAACAAATAATACGCAAAACATTTATTCATATGGAGGACATATTGTTTCGCTTGATCAAAAATGAACCAAAAAGAACAAACATAAAATACCTGAATCAGAAGTTTTCGTTGATACCCTTTTTCATTAACATATACGTAACGAAAAAGGGTCCGTGACCGCCGCTGGCGAGAACCCACCGTACAAATTTAATACAGCGCCGTTCTAAATTGCAAAATTTGGGGCTGATTGCCACGTCAACCGAGAAAAAAGAGACATGCAAATTATTCATAAAAGTGTGTAACATCAAATGTGATGAAAGCACCCCGGTGGCTAAAGTTTTCTACGCAGCAAGTACAGGTATCTTTAAAAGACAATAATGTAATTTATAGGGCAGAACTAATCGAAATAGTTCGTAGTAGTAGTAGTAAATAGTAGTAAGTTCGATTTACTAACAAAGTTTTGGTCAGCCAGACTAACAGAGGGTATTTCAATTACGTAGTATACGTTAAGTCTCAGAGTGACTATAAGTCGTGCAACTTTAGGTAATGTTATGTTGTGCCGAGCCGATATACGAGTACAAACGCCAACTGTCTTCGCCAGTACCTGAGTCTGAAAGGTGATTGAGGTGCCTACTCCATCTTAATGAAAGGTAAAGAACCGATGATGACATATGGAGCCTAAATTTTCATTCCATATCAAGTTATTCTGCCAGAGTACTGTAGAACTATATGGAATTTGTTCGGTAACTGGTTCAATTAAAACATGTTATATTCAATATGCATTTATTGCGTGGGCGATCGCTAGTAAGCAACGAGAGTAATCTGAGATGGATCGATAAAAAAGAAAACTTTCGAATCAGAGAATGAAAATTGGGACGGCTGACCCCACCACCACGTGGGATTACAAAACAAGGAAGAAAGAGAGAGAGAGACTACTATCAATTTATTTCTTTTTTATAATAATTTAAAGTCTAATAGCTACATAAAATGCGTTATGAGTACTAAATAAATATAAATCTCTGTCCTATTTAATGCAACACTTTAATCTAAATTAAAATTTTCGATAGATGTCGTTTCTTGTATTTTTACCTAACGTAAATATACGTCTTGCTAACGGGCGACGGACATCTACTCTCACATTTTTGTCAATGTTACAATAAACGACATTATGTAACATCAAGCTCTGTAGTATAATAACGTCTTGTCTTTGATTCCCTCTCTTGTGACCAACGTGATGTGTATTTTATTCACACTCCAAGGCCTTTTATTTTTATAAGCGGTATAAGTTATGTTTATTTCTAGTAATAAGAGAAGTAATAAACTAGAGCGGAAGCAGCGCCATTTTTATTACGACATTGATGTAGGACTAGCAAGTGACAATGTAGACCATGTAAGAATATTGATATTCAATAAGTATCTAAAGACGATTTAGGAATAAGGAATTTTAGTATCCATTAATGTCTGCCCGTCCTATCCGATTTCAGCATCGAGTTTCGAAGTAATTAAAATAAAATATACTTACATAATAGACTATATATATATTGAAACACTACGCTCAATAACCCATTACCTTGTCTTAAAGTAGCTGTTAAGGGAATAAACACTGCTATTTCCTGTTGATTGTCTACTTAATAGAAAGAGTGTTCTTTAATAGTGTTGGCCTGTAAAGTACGTTTTATTATATAAGTTAGGCTTCTACCTTGTACGTAGTTTAGAGGTTCACTTAGTGCGTAATTGATTTAGGTATTTGCAAATTGACTCTTGGTTTTTATTTGCCGTCACGTGCATAAGAAAAATCAGGGCGTAGTATAGTTCAAAAAGAAATCGCGCAACATCGGACAATGTTATTACGGCAGTAAGTCAACCCTATAACTAAGACCCCACTGTCTGTCTGTCTGTCTGTCCGTCTGTCACTGGGTTGTATCTCATTCAACCGTCATAGTAAGACAGTTGAAATTTTCACTGATGATGTGTTTTTGTTGTCGCTATAACAACAAATACTAAAAAAACAGAATTAAAAAATATTTAGGCGTTTTTAGGGTTCGGTACCCAAAAGGGCAAAACGGTACCCTATCCGCTGTCTGTCTGTCTGTCGGTCCGTCTGTCACCAGGCTGTAAATCATGAACCGTGATAGTAAGACATATGAAATTTTCACAGATGATGTCTATCTTTTGCCGCTATAAAAACAAACACTAAAAACCAAAATAAATAAATATGTAAGTAGGGACCCCATACAACAGACATGATTTTTTTCCGTTTTATGATGGTACGGAACCCTTCCTGCGCGACTTACTTTGTCTTGCGTCTTGCGACTTACTTCGACTTGCGTCTCGCGTCTTACTCGCACTTGGCCGGTTATTTCAATTATTTTCGAGGACAACTGTTATATTCATAATACAACGAGCTTTTGTTGCGACTGTTAGATTCAGTGAAAAGCATGATAAACGCGAAATGTATCGATAGCTCTAAATTAAATGCACAAAGAACTTACCTAAGATACTTGTAATATATTTATAATGTATCCTTCACGTAAATCTACTTGTACATCAAGCTAGTCAGAAAAAGAAGATTTGTTTAAACATCATTTAAATCACCGTTAAAAACATGTGTAACTGTAAAAATTGTTACAGCCGAATCCAGCAAGGAAATATCCGAAATAAAGGGTGAACACGTCGAATTCCATAGCCTGGGTGAGTAATGTTTACGAATTGCTTTTTTAATGCTTTTACAGTTAAACTTCTTATCACGTTATAACAAAACCTAGATAGAACCATAGGCTTTTAAAACATATATATTTTTAAACAAAAAAACAAATAGACTTCAAATTTTTTTTTTTATCACTATACACTTTATATTTAATTTTGAGGGGTTCGACGAAGAAAGGTTCTCTGATGAGATCAGATCAGTCTTCTAAACTTTGCGTTCTGCCATGTGAGTATTATATTGACAATTCAGAAAATGGTAATCGCACACTGAATTGTAGATGCCGTCAATGAAAACGGCGAGTTAGTGTCGAGGCTGGAGCAGCATGGAACAGCTGACGCGGTTCCTGGTGAGAAGCCGCGCGTGCACGCCCAGGCGCAGTTGGACGTGCCTTCTGAGGGTGTGCACAAAGTGCTGATTCAAGATGGCGCCAAGGTCAGCGTGGTCGACGCCACAGCCGCCACCACCGCCGCCAGCGAAGAGCAAACCACGAAGGTAACATTTGAGACTGTACCTTTTTATTTGAAATTGCCTTTTAAGAAAACATTATTCTGTGTTGTACGTTTAACAAACATAAATTACACGCGGACAAACACCCAGATGCGACAACTATCTGTGGTTCACACAAACAGTTGTCCCTTGTCGGAATCGAACCCACGACCCATGACGCCGAAGCCGATACCTTGGCGACTGTGTGACGGAGTCATCAAAAAACATTTTTAAATCACAGATTCGATTACTCACACACCTCATTAATACTCAATTGGTTCGTTCTTCCACTGATGCACTCTCCTGTTGATGTTTAGATTTGATATATTCCTATTCACTCTTATAATTTATAACTAGTTGTATTTTCTAAATTACAATTTTTATATAAGATGAAACATTAAAGTTTGTAGAAAAAAATGGACGAAAAGTTTTTCGCCGCTACGGAATTGATCCCACGTATTTCGGAATCGCGTCCAGACGCTGTAACAATTTCCTTTTTATCCACTTTTACGGCAAGGTTTTCACCCTATGAGATCATCGGGCGCTTAGCTTATAGAAGCGTCTGCATACCTTAGCCTGAAGGTGCAGGTTCGAATTTCGCAGTTTTTTCTCATTTATCTACAAAATTTCATATTATATATATATATATACCCTTCTTACTGCGAACCGTACTATGCTTCACTTATACGAACGAAACAATAATAGCCATAATAAAGAAATGTTTCGGCAGACAATACCGTATGAAATTATACTTAACAGTTGCAATGAAAAATAACAGCGCTTTCAATTTTATTTCCCAGCGATGTGCTATTCCATAGAAGGCTAGATCCATTATCATACTTACATATTGAACAGTTATTGCCGCATGAAATGTGCTTACATAAACGACAATAACTTTTAATGATGACTCCGTAGCGCAGTTGCCAAGGTATTGCCTTCGGCGTCGGGGGACGGGGGTTCGTTTCCCACACGTGACAACTATTTGTGAGTCCCACAGATAATCGCGTCTGGGTGTTTGTCCACGTGAAATTTATGTTTCATAACATTATCCTGTGTAGTAAGGACAACGTCCTTACTACACAATGTTATCCTAAAGAAAGGGTAATGTTTAAAAAAAAATATGTAACGACAATAACGTCACTCTTGTTACTCAATTTTTCTACAACTGGCGTAGATATGAATCAATATTTTGGCACGACTTGTTTTTGAGGGTCTATCATCAAAATAACCGTTGAATTTTGCGATCCAATTACCATTTATTCTCGAACGTTAGGTGATACTAGAAATTGCTCCTAGTCATTATCTCGCTTTAAATTGCTTTCTCAACCGAAGTTCCCAATACATGACTTAATGATCTGTTATAGTGTGTCTGAAGGTCTTGACCCGAAGTAATTGGTTTATTTGATCGGAGACGAGTTCAATATTGGATTACGGTTTCAAGTTATACAGAAATGTAAATTCAAAGGGCAACATGAGTTTATGCATATATTATATACATATAGTATTTTAATATACGAGTACGTTGATAGTCAGAAGCTTTTTGGGATAAAAGTAAACTGGTGAAATTCGATTGAAGTAACAATGTTATAACCGATGGGGAAGAAAGGTTCTCGGGTGGCAGCCGGTATTGGCCATCGCAGTGTTGGAGGGCCCGTCACTAGATTCGACGACGACCTGCGCAAATTACTGAGAAGTCAATGGATTCGGCTGGCACAGGATCCTGCTTCGTGGCAGTCTGCGGAAGAGGTCTATGTCCAGCATTGGACTTAAACAGGCTAAAATGATGATGATGAACAATGATGACGAAGCGAATATGCGATGAATGAATTGTATTCTTCTTTATATCTCACGTGTATGTACATTTGAACATACGTTTCAATGATAGTCACAGTATTTCTTGTTGAATGTGATAAGAAAAACAAAATAATTGTTTATATTTCTCAAATAGTCACGACCTCGCTCAGACAGGTATGCAGCAGTAGCACGTAAAAATACCATGTCTTCCGCCGGAATAACGTCATGTCACATTTAATACACGAAGCAATGTTATATGATAATATTTAATTTTATATTTAGATTATGATCGATTTACTACGTAAACGTTAACGCGGTAAATATTGAGAACATTTTCTTTTCTTAAAAACAACGTCGTTAAAAATGAATTTTGAAACTGGTAATGTAAATTTAAACGAATTTTGAAAATTAAAATAAAACAGTATTTATTTTTTTACTTTTATTATTTGACATGGTAAACTTTTGTAGCCATTTTATTAAGGAAAAACTTTACTTTAAAGATTGTTAATACCAAAAGTACCTTTTTTATGGAAAAAGGAAGCAAACGAGCAAGCGGGTCATCTGATGGCCGCCCATGGACATTTGAGATGATATTTATTAGAGATAAAGATTCATTATTTATTTCTTTACTTTCTTTATTTTTTTAGTTTATGTTAACGAATGTTTTAGTAAATTAATAAATTTACATAACCTACATAATTCAACACTGTATGAGGGACCGGCTCCTAAACTAACAAAGGATTTTAACGATACGATCAGTAACCTTGTATTTTCTACGAGAAGGTATCAACCCCTTTTATGGAATAATACAATTTAGTCATAAACTTGTGTTTTACTAATAGGTATTCCACGGAGCTGCGCGATTGATCCAACCGGGCTCGGCTACTAACAACCCCTCCAACCACCCTCCAAACCATTCGGCGGTTCGACGAGCCTTCAACGCCGACATCACTAAGGAGACCAAGAATAACGTACGTACCAATTGGTTAACCAGACAATAATAGCTAGTATTGGCAATCATGAATATAGTTTTACCTGTGGCAGGACTAGGCGACAATCTTCGCTGTTGCACTAAAGGGCAGGTCCGTCCGGGAAGTACCACCTAACCACTACTCACAGAAGACCGATGTGAAGTGGAAGTTTAAACTACGTTTAGTCTGGTTAGTGAGGTAGCCGGGGCCCACTTTATTAATAGGTGGCAACGCCTCTGCTACGGCTGTTATTAATGTCAATGGGCGGCGGTTATCCTTAACATCAAGTGAATCGTCTGCTTGCGTCCCACCTTTTCACCTTAAAAATAAAAACTGCTTCAAGAAAAACTTAATAATTGTCTTACGTTCAAAGAAAATGAACTCTTGCATGTAATATTCTAATGACGATATATTTTTAGCAAATATTATATTGTATTATTGTACATAACATAATATAACAATTTTCTAGAACTAAAAAACATCAAAAGCCTGACTGCGTAACCACTAAAGTTGAATTCAGAACCTCGTCCTTTTTTGAGATCAGTTTAAAAATTAATGCGAATTAGGTCCTAGGTGCGTCAGGAAAGAGTAAAACTGTGGTAGGACACCGCTGCAGCCTCGGCTGTTGCACGAATGGGTAGGCTCGTCCGGGTAAGTACCACGACCTCGCAGAAGACCGGCGTGATGTCGAAGTATAATAAATACTTTCGCGTTTCGTCTGGTGAGTGAAGTAGCGGGAGCCCAATTTTCAAAGGGTTGTCAACGCAATTGCAACCCTCAGGTGTAACAGATGGCCATGGGCGGCGGTTTTCACTTAACATCAGATGAATCGCTTGCTCGCTTGGAAATTTTTCATATAAAAAACATCTTATCCTCTGGCGGCTGAGATCAAGCGATGCAACATTATTACATTTTACTTCATCGTTTTGACATCGCGAGAACATCTTTGTGCAATCTTAATGGCCACTATACCGTATCGATCTGTCGCCTTGTTAGTTCCAGTTTCAGCGCCATTTAGTAGGTTACCAGGTATTCAGGTCAAGCGTCCGGCTAGCAGAAACAATGGGTATGTGTATTTCTGGCATGAGCTTCGCCATTGGTACGATATTCTATATCGATCGTACCAATTCGAAAATTGAAAATAACCTCCTCCTTTTGCAGTCGATTAATTAGTAAATCGAATATTAAAAATTTGTTTGTTTTTAAATCTTGAAAATCATGCTTTATCGCCCGATTCGAATAATGAAATAGCTCTTTTTTATAACTTGATCAAAAAAATTTATAACTTTTTTCCTAACCAGTCAGTGTTTTTGAAAGTTCACATTTTTCAGATTTCGTCTCATTATTAAAAAAGAAAATAAAAAGTCATATCTTTGTCTACATTATTTGGATATATGTGGATATTACATTTCACCTACTAGCTCGGGCTTCGAATACTTATATCTCAAGACTAGGTATAAACCTCTGCAAAAGCAGAGTATACCGTGGAAACACCGATATTTCTAAAAGCAATTTATTTATAAGTGATAAGCAGTACGAGTATCTTTAAGTCAACTTTGGGAACGCTAAAGTTATTCACATAACGTTGTTATTAGTTGTTTGTTTATCTTATGTTTGACGTCTTCAACTTAAACGTAATAAGTTGAAACTTTTAAGGTCCCTCAGTTGCGTCGCTTTTGGCTTCCGCACCGGTGTTGTGAGTTCGATTTCCATCTAGGACAAGTATTGATGTGACCCGTTTATAATTGTTACAAACCTGGGTGTTTATTCCCAAGGAGGTGACGTCAGGCAGGCAAAATTGAAAAAAGCAGAAGATTATTATAATGCTTCAGCCAATACTTGAATAAGTAACTGTTGCTCCTTGCAAATATTACAGAGGGATTCTTAGGGATTTGTAATAATTTTTTTATCGAAAAATACAGTAATTATTATTTTAAGGTATAAGATTATTAAATTATTTTTATATATTATTTAAGGATTAACCGATTTATAAGAGTACAAAAACTTTAATAAATCGATTTAAAACAACTTGTTTGCTTCTATTTTGTTTAACTCGTTTTCATTTCTCGTGTGCTAAGAAACAATATAATTTTAGAGAATGTCTGTAAAATGTCTTAGCTCCACCACAACCCCAATGCTAAGAGTAAGAAACCATAACCCAGCTGAGAGTAGCAGTTAACCCACTTTACGACTTAGTCGGGCTTTGTCGTAAAACTTAATGCGATAGACAGCTGCACTCGAGTAAAGGTGGTGCCTTAGTGATCGTGAAATAGCAAAGAATTTAGGTTTTGTTACTGTTTTTTTTCCAAACTTAAATTTAATTTAATCTGATATTACGTTAATATGTTTATATTCCGATAAATTGTCTGGTAAGTCGGCATAGCTAACGAGGAGGTAGTGCCGACAACTATTTCGCAGGTACACATATAGGGCATTTAATATTCCCCATTTCATATTTCCCAATTCATATTTCCCAACTGTGGTAGGCCACCTAGCGGCCTCGGATGTTGCAAGAATGGGCAGGCTCGTCTCGATAAGTAACACGACCTCATAGAAGACCGGCGTAAAGTGGAAGTATAATACTGTCGCGTTTCGTCTGGCGAGTAAGGTAGCCGGAGCCCAATTTTCAAAAGGTTGTCAACGCATCTGCAACCCTCGGGTGTAGCAGATGTCCATCGTTTGGCAACTTTTCAAATAAAAATGTGTTAGACCCCACGCCTGGCAATCATTGTTAGAATATCCTGTTTACCTCTCTGCGACTCATATCTATCTCCTAAAACCTCAACATTTATTGTTGACCAAAATTTCCACGTTAACAAAATGGAAAACGAAAGTTTATATATTTTCCCGCGTTATAACGAACGACGGACATGAGATAAGTTCTAGCTAAATAGTTTTAGATTTATAACTACGATTTACTTTATATAATGTTGTGAGCAGAATATGGAACAAAAGTTCAAGGTTAACAAATGTACGAAAGTTATATTTATTAGTCATTACGCAGCCGCTTTGTAGCGTGCGACGCATGCGATGGATTGTAACTTATTTAATTGGTTTTAGATATATGTTGAGCCGTGATAGCTCAATGTCCAGGCGCTCGCCTTTAACTCAATAAGATAAACCTGAGTTCGATTCCCGACGCCAGCACCAATGAAATTGTTAATTTTAAGTGCTGACTTTATCACGTACTCAACGGTGAAGGAAAATGTCGTGAGGAAACCTGCATATTTTGGAAATAATAACAAAAAAAATATTTCGAAGATATGTGAAGTTCGTCAATCCGCAGTGGGACCGCGTGATGGACTATGCCCTGATACCCTCTGTAAAAGAGGCCTTTGCCCAGCAGTGGGATATGTATAGGCTGTTACTCACTCACTCATAATCTATATATACTTTACGTCATATAATAAAGAAGTGTATGCAGCTGCCTCTCATGAAATGGTTTAAAAAGACACTCGTCTTAGGTCTGAATGTGCCGTTTCACTTTACTTCCCTTTTGAAATTAGCAGGTGTTCGCGTTAACTCTTTTACGATTCTCTCTTATACTGTTACGATCAATTCATTCTCGATTTTATAGTTTAACTAGCTGCTGCCCGCTCTGCTGTCTGCGTAGAGGGGTAAAAATTTAGGGTTGTATGTATTTTTGTATGCTGTGTCATAAAAAAATAGAAACAAAAAGTTTTATATAAAAAATAAAAATAAAAAATAGGGCTGGACTACCCCCTTAACATTTAGGGGGACGAAAAATAGATAGTAGCCGATTCTCAGACTTACTGAATACGCATCTAAAATTTGGTAAAAATCGGTCGAGCCGTTTCGGAGGAGTTCAAGTTCGAACCCCGTGACACGAGAATTTTATATATTAGATTCGTTTCCACAACTGAAACCGTCTGCCACGAACTTGGGATTGTGACTGGTTAGTGAGACGACGTTTATCATGAAATACCAAGAGTAATATTCAAATACATTAAGTAACGTGATGAAACGTTATATGCGACAACTGACCACAAAGTGGTTGTGAGTGGCAAAAAAGTAGTGGCATATTCTTGTTTAATTTTCGCTAAGACGTTTTACAAATGCATAGAGCCAAAGCGAGAACAGTTGTTCGGTCTTTTACATATGAATACCGCGTGCGGGAGTCAAACTCGTCCCGTGGCGTCTAATCTCACAGAGGAACTGCGCTATTATAGCCGAGCTATGGTCCAAACGATATTAAACTCAATCACCAACACTGCAGCTTGCCAAAGCACACATAAAGGCAAAAACAAATCGTTTTACATGTCATAGGCAAAAGTGTAATAGCTCTTATTTCGTTTGCCAGATGGACCATTATTCATCGTACGCTGGTGTACAATATTCTCCGTTGGACATGGCCGAATACGTATTTTGGACTGGTGACGAGCGTGGCGTTACCACCGCCATCGAGGATTTCCTTCAAGAGGGCATGGTTTGTATTCCTCACATTTCGTGAACACTTCGTAAGTTAGATTGTAAAACATCTGACTATGAACTCATCAATAACATTATAAGACAAAGAGATTTAGAATTAGTGTTTTTGAATGTATCAACAGTAAATGCATTTAAATGCTAAGTTTTAACTTTTTTATACCTGAAAGCTGTGGCTTTTGTTTTGGAAAAATAAAAATCTACATACAGTCAATTGTAATATCTTTTATTTATGGAAATTTATTTTAAATGTTGTTTCGAACGCTGCAGATGACGAAAGAGGAGGCCATCAACTTCTTGCAAGAGATCAAGTTCAATATCGACTACCTCCGTGCGCACTACACACAGAACTTGCGGGCGGCAGAAGAGAGCGCGCAACAAGAGAAGCTGAGGAACATGCTTCTAGAACAAAATGCTAAGGTATTTGATCATTACACTCAGCCATTGTTTCAACTCGACCACAACTGTAACTGCGGTAGGAACACGCAATAGTCGCGTTGATCAATGAGCAGGGTCGTCTGGGAAGTAGTATGTAGAACTCATAGAAAATCGGCCTGAAGTGAAAGTCTGTATCTGGTGAGTGTTGTAACCGGAGCACCCTCTACTAAATGGCAACGCATCCGTAATCCTATGGGTGTTGTGCATATCCATGGGCGTTTTTTTTTTTATTTTCTCAGGAAAAAGAACAGCTGAAGAAAGTAACATATGTATAAGTACAGAACAGTTACGCTTAAGTTAATAACATGTCGTCACATATAAATAATAAAATTAATAAAAATTTTAATAAAATAATAATAGAATTTCTGTCATCTGGCGTCAAGAGTGGATTGTTATATGAATTATTATACGAATTGGAACATGAGTGGTTCGAAATTTGCCCTAACGCAATATTAATATGTGACGTAATTTCATTAAATACAATTAACCTTTAATTAGGACGAGCGAGACCTCTAATTATAATACTAACAGTATTACTTAACTTCGCCCTAATTAATTTCTCCGAATATACCAACGCTTCTCAATTAATTCACGATACACTAATGACTGCATTTTATTGGATTTTTCTTTTAATAGCCTTTTCATTTTTTTTTTATGTGAAAAGGTAGCAAGCTTGCTCGCGGTTCACCTGATGTTAAATATTACCCGCCGCCAAATTATATGAATTAATTAACACATAGTACATTTTTAAATTAAAATGTATATATATTTTTAAATTAATTCATTATATGTTTTTAAATTAAAATTTATGTACATAACGAATTATGTATCTTTCTTTAACCGACCTGGTTTTTGGTTTTTGTGTTACATAATGCATATCTACAAGGCATTTGACAATTCAAAGTCTGGAATTAAAAATAAACCACAATAAAATCCGTAAAGTAGGTTTCCTAAAATGTGTAATATTTAGAGTAAATGAGAGAAATTAATTAATATGGTACAGTATATAAATGCTGTCATTTACCGTAACGAGAAAGACAGAGATAGTATTCATATTATTACGCTTTGTAATAATATGAAAACTATCATTAAGTATACAAACTTGGTATACTTCACAGATGGTCAGCTTACTGATACATAGATAGTAAGTAGAATACATATTTACTTTCATTTACCACCAATGATACATATTTTTCAAAAAGTAAAGTAAAGTAACAGCCAATACATGTCCCACTGCTGGGCAAAGGCCTTCTCTATACAGAGGGTATCAGGGCGTAGTCCACCACGCGGCCCCACTGCGGATTTGCGGACTTCACATATTTTCGAAATATATATTTTTTTGTTATTATTTCGAAAATATGCAGGTTTCCTCACGATGTTTTCCTTCACCGCGGAGCACGTGATAAGTCAGCACTTAAAGTAAAAAACTTCATTGGTGCCGGCACCGGGGATCGAACTCAGGTTGCTCGAGTATATTGAATTAAAGGCGAGCGCCCGGACACTGAGCTATCACGGCTCTTTTATACTACATTCTTTTTTGCTACATATTTTTCAATGCTCGCGAGAAATAAGGAACAAAAAAAATTACAATTGTGAAAAAGTCATGACGACTCATCATTACTAACATCTTTCCGAGTAACTGGCGAGATGTGTTAAAGTTAATCGGTCTTTATGGGAGCCACGCTTAACCAAAAACGCGACAGTTAACTAACGCCCCCGATCGTTACAGATTGTTACCGGTCCATTAAGCGAACACGCCGACTGGATAACTTTACGTTGAAAGACCTCGTTCTCGTTTATTTTCTGAACACGTTATAGCTCAGGTATTGGGACGTGTATCGGCTATTTTGATTTGCGTATTCGAATTATTGTACAAATACAGTTTCGCTTTTGAAGCGAAACTTCTTAAGCAGCGGTTTTAGGACGAGAATTGGTGCAAAATTTCGAGGATCCGTCACGTTTGGGTTTTTCGTTACACGAGATGGAAGAAAGATAGAGCGCACAAGTTCGTAGAAAGAAAAATGCAAATTGGACTTCAGAAAAAAAATGCAAATTCAGACTAGTAAACATAATAAACAACTTTTCTTTTCATATATTTTTTTCGCGTTTTACTTTTACCTGCAGTTCTTTGTACAAACGGAATTACATTAAATATTAACAGAAATCCATAGAAAATAATTTGGTGCCAAGGGGCTTCCACTCCTTTGTTGCCCCGAGGCCTGCAGACGTCTAAATCTGGCCCTGCCCTCATCAAGCTGACACTCGACCGTAGCACGCACCGCCGGAGTACCAATACCGCGGCCAGTCGTTCCCGTTCGGAAACAGCGCGGACATAGTGCGCAGCGTGGCCGGCAGGACCTGGGAGATGAGCAACAATCTGATGCCGCCTTCGCTGCCCGTCGCCAGCGACCTCCGCCCCGAGCCCGCCAAGAGGTCCTACGATCCCATGCTGCAGACCAACATCATCGGTACGTTTCGCAACGCCGGGGAGTATAAGCGATCCCGAAGCTGGAGAGTTTGTCAGACAAAGGTAGAAAGGTAAACTTGTAAATATTGCTACACGAAATCTGTGGAAGCCAAGATGTCATAATAAAAAAATAATTTATCAAAAAGCCACATTTGCAATATTTTTAGAAGTAACAAGAAGTATCATGGACAAAGTTCTTGAATGATATCTATTTTATCCAAGGCATTATTTTTTTTATAGTTTAATAAAAATACAGCCTATATGCTATGCCAATAAATTAGGTATATGTAAAAAAAAATTATGAATAAAATGAGTAATATGATATTTTGATTTAATAAAAGATAATTACACATATATGATTATTAAATGATTAATAAAAAAAAGATGTTTCTATTTAATAAAAGGAAAAATAATACATTTCAGGCACTTCGGACTACGACCGCGACGGTCCTCTTATCACTGAAGAGGAGTACGAAGAGATGATGGAGAAGCTGAGGGCTGCAGACACGCTATACACGGAGTATACGCTCGAAGAGATCATTTACCAACTCGCCAAGGTGTGTACTATTTAATATTAAAAATTTAAGTTATTATGAAGGCCATAGCCAATATTTTAGAAGCAGATATTAATCATCAATGAAAATGTGTTAAAATAAGCGTTTGTCTTTTCGTACGGAACAGATAGGATTGCACAAGATAACACAATTTAAAAATACGGCAAAACAAACTTAAGTCAGAAAACGAAACCCTATGGATTGCACGTGGTGGTAAAAAAATTTAATAGATCGTAAAGCAAAAACATTTTTTGGACTCTGTGGATAGCTCAATGGTTTATGACCTAAATAGTGGCCTTATCGGTGATAGGACCAATGCGTTTGTTCTGGTTAGACGAAAAAATATAATACATCCACTTCACGCAGTTCTCCTATGAGCATGCGGCTGCAATGTGGCTCTGCCATCGTAAATTCAATAGGAGGCCGAAAGTCTACTCTGTTGCACGAATGGGCAGGTCTGTCAGGGTAAGTACCACGACCTCACAGAAGACCGGTAAAAGTACACTTCTGCGTTTCGTCTGGTGAGAGAGGTAGCCGTGGCCCACATTACTAAATGGTGGCAACGCATCCGCTGTTCTCACTTATTTTTTTTATACTTCATTGTTACACCTTAGGCTAAAGGCTACAATGGGCGGACTTAACGCCTAGTGGCATTCTCTACCCGTCAACCCTTGTCATGGTGAGAAATAGATGGTAGGTGCTAAAACAAAAGTGAATAAAAGTAGTAAAACATATACATAAAAATCAAATTAAATATAACACACTTAACATCAGGTGAACCGCCAGCTCGATTGCGACATTCTCACATTCGGAAGTAGGTATTTTTGTAGATAAATAAGAAACGAGGGCGCTTGCATAAATGTTTACTTACGTCGGTAAAACGATCGTCTTGTCCGCTCCCAGATGATGTTCTCTCAATCGCTTTCGCGCGATCCCGCGTCGGCGCGCGCTGCCACCCAGCGCTTCATGGCCTTCTTGGAACTGGAGGCCGAGAGGGGACAGCTATCGCGCACCATCGAGAAGAAAGTGCTCGGTAAGATATCACCTCTGCCTATCTAAAGAATTGAATTACTGAACTCCCTTGCAACGTTTAAAAATATCCCTAACGAACCATTTTTTTTATTTTTTTGAAAACATCGCCGGTACTGTAAGATTTGCTATCCCGATATTGCTATTATCTGTGGGTCACACAAGTAGTTGTCCCGTGTGGGAATCGAACCCGTGACCTCGGGGCCGAAGCCAAATACTATGGCAACTGCGCCACGGAGCCATCGAATCAATGAAGAAATAGATTTTGACTCATTCCTGATCCCAGCAGTTGATTGCCTGAATCAAACAATTGATTAAGATATAGCTAGTAGACAAAATAACATAGTCAGCATGAGGTGAATGCTATCAAATCTCAGCCTTGTTTGTTTCTAGATAAAGGTGGATGATTATCAGTTTTTTTTAAGTAACTTCAAACCAAACTTAAATTAACCGTTATTCTGCATCAACGCTATTACAAAAAAAATCGACTCAAAATAAGGCGTTACCACAAATAATTAAAAGAAACGCGACAGATTAAAATGAATAATTTTTTGCCAGACGTAATGATCGCTGCTCTGACCGATACCATTGGCGACCACCCTGAACTGCTGCAAGCCAGGGATGGACTTAGTGTGAGCCCTGCTAACCGGTAAATAAAATGACTTTTTATTTTATTTATATTTCTGTAAAAGCCCTAATAACAGTTGTTTACACCTTATCGTAACTGTAAAAAAGAAACAATAGGTAACATATATACGAGTAAGTAAAACCTTTTACCAATAAATTCGGCCAACCTTATTTCAAATCTCGATGCCAGCATCAGTGAAATTGTTAATTTTAAGTGCTCAGACGTTAAAGATATCTAACATCGTGAGGAAACCTGCATATTTTCGAAATAATAACAAAAAAAAATGGTTTTGAAGACATGTGAAATCCGTTAATCTGTAGTGGGTCGCGTGGAGGACTATGCCCTAATACCCTCTATGCAGAGGAGGCATCTGCCTAGCAGTGGGACCACCCGTTGGGCTGCAGATGCGTGGCCACCTTTTAACAAAGTGGGGCCCCGGCTGCCTCACTAACCAGACGTGGTTTAACGGTGGTAGGGCCACCCAGCAGCAACCTCGGCTGTTGCACGTATGGGCAGGCCCGTCCGGGTAAGCACCACGACCTCACAGAAGACCAGCGTAAAGTGGAAGTATGACAAATACTTTCGCGTTTCGTCTGGTGAGTGAGGTAGCCGGAGCCTAATTTTCAAAAGGTTGTCAACGTATCTGTAACCCTCGGGTGTAGCAGATGTCCATGGGCGACGGTATTCACTTACCATCAGGGGAACCGTCTGCTCGTTTGGCAACTTTTCACATAAAAAAAAAAACCAGACGAAACGCAGAAGCAATAACACTCCCACTTCACGCCGGTCTTCTGTGAGGTCGTAGTACTTAACCGGACGGACCTGCGCATTCGTGCAACAATGACCGTTACGCATCCCTACCACAATAGCATAATATAATAATATAGCGGAATGAGTTGTTTCCATAAGTTCGAGTTCAACAACACAATGTTTCATCTTACAGACTGATGCATCAATTCCTGGAAACCGGTTCGGCGGAACCGAGCATGTCGCGCGCCATTCTCTCCGCCTACAAAGACGAACTGCTGAAAGGGCCGCCCCTGCACAAACTGGGATTCCCCGAGAGGAACTAAATTCGGGCAACCGTTAATTTCTCACAAAACTTATGTGCCATTGGCGTATTTAAGATAATTATTAGTTTAACAATCGCGTATGTAATCGTATGTTTTATTCGTGTACTATAACTACATTCTACGAGTAATGTCGTCTCTGTTTGGTTAATTATTCTTAGCTTTCATCATTTGAAATATTTGGTTTTTGTGATCAACTGAGCATTCCGTATTCCGTATAAATTGTAACCAGATCCAAAAATGGAATATTTTACAATACATTATACAATTATTATTAACTTTTAGAAATTACCTATCAGATCAAGTAAAGTTAAAAACCTCAGAACTATACTAGTCTTAGGTACCTAAAAACTAATTTAGTGAATAAGATCACGTTTCTTTTGTAAATAATTTTAAAACATTTATGATAAACATCTTCATCTAACATCACATGCATTGTATGTGTAGAAACAATCTTAACACAATTTATGAAATTGTTACCAAATATTAATCTTTACGCTTAAGTTACATTGCTTCTAAGTGTCAAGCGTCAATCGCATTTTGCTTTCATACTATTCATAGGTTAATTAACAAAATGAATAAAAAAGATAGATATTTGTGAATTTAAAATATTTTCAACTTCTAAAAAAATAAATTCTCACTTGGTGTGTTGAATAATATAGTCATATAATATATACTATTAAGAGCTATACGGTTAGTAAATAAATTAATAGAACATACTTACATATAAATATATTAGTAGCTAGACAAATATAACTTAATATTTTTCTACCAATCTTCCTTTGGAGTAATGTGCAATTAACTATTTTTCATAAATATTTCAGTCTTCCCCCACTTTATACTATATCTAAAAAATAAGTAGCCATACTGACAATGTTTGTCGCAGAAAAAATCAAATTTCAAGAAAAGCCTTTGAAAAAAGAGAAAAAAAAAAACATCCATTGATACACAAATAATATATTATGAATATATGACACAAATATAAGTGCTTAATATTTTTATGTGTTTTATGGTGGGTAAGATGAATGTACAAAATTACCACAAACATCAGGAACGATTTCACTAATAACTAGCATCGATAGACCCGTAAACATCATATCAAATTTTAAAAACCTATAAAACATATCAAATAAATATTGATGAGCGTTCACCATAGATCTGTAAAATAGACCTACACTTATTTATGTGACAAATAAAAAAAAAACTTACGGCTTCAACATATAAAATAGAAAATTGCACATCACTAAATTCCCTTTCCAATTCTAAATAAAAAATCTATTTACCTATTTATAAAAGAGGCGTATCCTTAGAATCCCAACATTTTACATAATAAGAGTCGATCGTCTAAATACATCATTGTTAGACAACGCTATATTAGTGATCAGCGAAATTTATTAAATTTGTATTATTCTTTGAAATATATTGTGGATTTAATAAAAAATGTTAGAACATCAATGTTTTATTTAAACAATCCCATCCACAATGCCAAATATCTTCAATTCAATTAAATATTAAATTATTTCGTGTTAGCACGAATAGCTTTTCGAACTATATTTACAACAGCGTACACCGCAACCCCTTCTCACTGGTCATTGTATCATCTGTAACATGGTTGCCTGGACGAAATCGCTTCTAAGCGATATAAGGCCGCCAATTGTACCTTTATGTGATTTTTGTCTGATGTACAATAAAGCATATTTAATTCATTTATTCGTGAAATAACAAGTGTTTAAATATATCTATAGTAATTACCTTTGTAGAGTACTTCGAAATTTCTGAACTGAATATCAATTTGAACGAACTCATCCCACTTTCCCGTTGTGGATCGAAAAGTGAGGACCTCTGTTAGGTCCAAAAATAGTTGGTACATACGCGGATTAGACGTGACTTTCGCCATTTTAATTATTTATACCAAAAATAGTTTGACGCCAAATATTTCTGGATGGAGCAGTCAAACCTTTGGATGATCACCTTAAGAATTACGTCGCTGCTGTCTTGCAGACGCTTCAGCAACGAGGCAGACTTTTTGTGAATTATTTGGAAGTGGACACATCCATCCGCAAATACTCCAGAAACACTAAAGCGGCTGTATGTGCAGTACATTGTAAGCTCGAGGCGAATACTCACCCACGTGGACTGGTTGAGTAAATAAAATAAATTGACACAACAAAAAATCTACACATGTATATATTTAAAAATAAATAAATATGTAGAAAGAAAAACTTGTAATAACACAATGGAAATACTTTAAAGCTATAAAATACATGAACAATAAAGGGAATCTATTTGTGTAATGATGAGCCAGCGGAAGGAACGACCTCAGTAGACGGTAGAACTGCAACGCTGATTTTTAACGGAACTTTTGATTAAGTGGAATGTACTAAAAGAGCATTAAGAACAGGAGGCATGAAAACCAAGAATAAATTTACAAATATCTTTAATTATTACAATAGTTAATACAAACTAGAAAGTGGTGGAAACGCGTTCTGTTTACTAACCACCACTTTCTTGTGTTGATAGGAAATATAACCCTTTATTTTCCCGTCGTAAATCAGATTGGCGACTATGCACTGAGTCTCGTCGGAGTCCACGTCCTCCTGGCCCATTATCTGCAGAGCGGCCTGGAAGCTGGCAATGTCGATCTGGTGCGAGCTCTCCAGCAAGTATACTTTGCGGAAGAGATTCCTGTACGCGGTTATTTTCAGCTTCTCGACGATCAGGTAGATTCCCGCGCGGATGAAGAAGCTCTCGTGCTCCTCCATTACGTTGTCGATGCCCCTCAAGTTGCCCTCCTTCACCGCGGACACCAGGTCCCAGAACTGCATCAGGTCGTACTTCTCGAGGAGGGGCTTCGACGGCATGAAACCCAGGAGCATTTTGACGGGCACGAGGTACGTCAGTATCAGCCTCTTGTTCTTCGCGCTCCTCCCGTGGCAATTCTGGAACGCGTAAGAGAGATACTCGTCGGCGGCTTTGTAATCGGAGTCGAACATTGCCTTGCGGCCGACGAAATATCTGTACGTGATCTGCTGCGCCAGCGGGAACTGGTCCTTGAACGGTGACGAGTCGATAGCCCTTATGAGAGGCTTGCACAGATGCAGTTTGTTTATTCGGAAGTAGACTTTGAGCAGTTGATTGACGAGGTTCAACATTCCAAGTCTCTTCGTCTCGCTATCGGACGATCTGTTGTCCGCTGCGCACACTCTGAAACACGCGAGGAGGCTTTCCGCCGCCTTCTCTAATATTTTACCGTTGCTTTGGGCTGAAACGCAAAACGCAATTTGAATCAATCATGAATACTCGTAATATATTAGTGTAATTAACGATTGGAATACATCATATATCTTTCGGTGGTAGGGCCACGCAACAGCGTCGGCTGTTGCACGAATGGGCAGGCTCGTCCGGGTAAGTACCACGACCTCACAGAAAACCGGCGTAAAGTGGAAGTATGACAAATACTTTCGGGTTTTCCTTAGGTGAGTGAGGTGGCCGGAGCCCAATTTTCAAAAGGTTATCATCGCATCTGGATGGAACCCTCGGGCGTCAAATGTCCATGGGTGGCGGTATTCACTTAACATCAGGTGAACCATCTGCTAGTTTGGCAACTTTTCTAATAAAAAAAAATCATATTCATGAAACCTACATATTCATGAAATAACAATAAAAAAAATGTTTTGAACATAAGTGAAATCATACACTTATTAACAAAATCATCCCAAGTGCAAACTACCCGAAAGCAGCTTCTTCAGATGTGGCACAAGTGCACAAGTGAACATTGCCGAATGGTTAACATTCATAGATAATTTTGTTTAAAAAGAACTGTGATTTTTCTATTACTTATTATAGTGGACTCCTTTTTTACATGGAAAACCATTAGTTGCTAAGCAAAAATGGTAAAGTAACAGTCTATATATGTGCTACTACAGGGCAAAGGCCTCCTCTATAGAAAGGGTATTAAGGCATTGGTCACTGTGCCATCCCTTCCCCACTGCAGATTGGCAGACTTCTCACATTTTCGAAATATATTAGTTTTTTTATTATTTGGAAAATATGCAAGTTTTCTCATAATATTTTCCTTTGCCGCTGAGCACATTAACAATTTCATTGGTACTTGCACCGGGATTTAACTCAGCATCCTAGGTTATATTGAATTGAATAAGTGAGCATCCGGACAATGAGCTGTCATGGCTCTTATGTTTTGTCTGCAATATAGTAATAGATACTAAATGGACAGAAACTTGTCAGTGCCACATTTTTATTGTACCACAAAATTGAATTCTGTGAATTAAAACATAACTATCACTTGTTCAATAAAAAAGAGTACTGCAATTTGAAGTTGTGAAAAATGAGTTCCTAACATTATAAATAAAAAACAAAAGGGCTAAACATTGAAGTGCATTATTTTAATTTTCGATATACAAACTAAGTCTATGTTACAAAATTAAATTAGTGTTATATGTTACATAACTTACGATTACATCCCTCAGCTTTTTGGGCAACAAGTCTTAGATCTATGCATACAGTGTATAAAAGTGGCAGGGTCCAATTTTCCTCCTTTTGGGACTGTAACATTTTTACTACAGCAGCAACACAAGCAGTCTGATTGTCAAATGCTTCAATATAGTTTCTTGAGTGTAAAGCCTGTATAATATGTTTGAAAAATTAATAGAAAAAACCTACCCATGACACATTTTTAATCCTCATTTTGTAGAAGTAAAACTTCTATCGGCACAAATAAGGGGTAACTTACGATGCTTTGTAAGAAGACAATGCAAAACAAATAACTGCATAAATTATTGTTTAATATTATTGTTTGACTGATCAGAGAGACATGCCCCTTTAATGGCATATTTCAGCTATATTAATTTTTTGTATTTATGTGCGAATGTGAAGTCGATGGATGGTACCTTACAAACCTCTATGTATAATTTTTTAAGTAAAATTTGACAATTCATAAGAACGCGCAAGCGTTTATTTGAATAAAGATTTTTGATTGATTGATTGATGCAGGAAGCATAGTGACAGTCTATGGGGGAGGCCTATGTTCAGCAATGGACTCAAAAAATTGAAATGATGATGTGAATCCTGAACATGGTTTCAGATCTGTAAGCTTCACTAAGATAATTATATCAGCAGATATATATAGTGTAAAAGCAGCAGTGTAGCAGAATGTGGTAGGATAAAATAACTTAATTTTTTTTGTGAAAATGACTATTTTATAGTTTTAATATTTGCTATCTTTTATACTTCGCCAATACGTCTTGTGCTTAGTATTTCTTAATAAAGTAATGAATACTTTCATAGGAAGCTTACCGTTACGCATAATAAATGATAAATTACTATTTCACCCAGAGGGGCCATACAATTTCCTTCCACGAGAGTTGCTATGTCCTTTGAGATTAAATTTCTGTTTCCTACGTGATCATCTCGAAGAGATAGTAGATTTGCAAGCTCATTTCCTTCACCATTATTAAATTCCTGCTCGACATACTCAATATATTGGAACAGAGAATAGTACGACATTTATGTTTTTATTAAATTTACACAATTTTTTTTTCACTGAAAGGCAATATTATAAAGTCTTTTTCTAACGAACATATATTTTATGTTTATATTAATACAAAATAAACAAGTCATTAAGTTATAACATAAAACAAACGAGCTGTAAATGCATGTAAATGTGTTATATGAATGTCACCGCCGGTCCAGTGTTACCAACTGTTGAAAAAAAAACTCCTAAATGAAAAAGTCACCATTTAAAAAAAAATCTAACAAGGTAGAGTAATTATCGGAAAAAATTAACTATCTTGGTAATCAAAATTTGGGGCCGGATATGTCGATAAAACATCCCGTGGCCCCTTCATCTTGTTTCTTAAATAGGTGACTGTTGGTCAATAAAATAACCTGCAGACGTTGTTCGACTTATTACACTGGACGTTAAGGCTATCCGATGGCACAGTATCTGCTATTGTTGCAATGAAAATCTGTGAGCTATAATGGAACCAAATATCCACTTTTTTCCAAGACGTCTGCCAAGACCCACGTCAAGTGTCAACTCACGTGATAAACAAAACGCGTCGACTCACAGATAATCATATTAAGACGCCACACTGTTTTATTTTAAAATTAATATACTTGACCTTGAAAATTTTTCATTGACTTGAAAAATATTTATACAAAGTAAATACATTTTATTGTAACATTATAATCATTTTGTTTATTTTTAAGAATCAGACAATAAACAATGGGAATAAGCATCATTCATTCATAAAAGATCTGAATTAAATATGCCTTTAAATTCATTGTTTTTTTCCCACTTAAAATTTTATTCTTAAAAATATTCTCAAAAAATTTCTCGTACTAAAAAACTTCCATTATAAATTTTTTCTTCCTAAATTTAGGCAGAAAACTCCTAAGTTGGCATCCGTGCGCCGGTCACAACTGACATAAGAAATGACAACTTGATAAGTGACAACATTCAGTGTTGTCATTCCGAATTCCGAGCTCAAAAATTTGTATGAGCTTTATTTTGGGATCGGTCGGGTCGAGTCGGGCACAGAGTGGTTTTCGAAGTTTCCATCAGAAATATCTTGATATGCACTAATAGGAATCATTAGCTTGAGATGCATGACAAAAGAACGACTAACAATTCGGTCTTTTTTAAGCTAACTTTCTGTTTAACTAAAATCGTGTCTAGTTCGAATGAATTCGAATACGATATGGTAGTTCCCATTGACTTAGAATCACTAAATTTGGCAAAAAGCGAGGTCTTACAGCACAAGTTAAAGGAATATTCCAAATAATAAAAAAGTTAAAAATTAAGATAAATAATTTTTGTTCAGTAATGTGTGTTTATAGAAATTTGTGAATTGTTTGTTAACTTCAGGGTTTAATAGCATCAGTAATAAGTATTTTCATGGTTTTGGGTTAAAATTATTGTTACCAGGTCATATAATCTTTATTAAAAAAAAGCATTATCGTGGACGCATCTAATAACACTAAACACCAAACCAGAGTTCCGTTAAAAATATATCGAAATGGACACGATTTCGATAATTGAAAATAAATATCAAATATCGATATGTCGGGAATAAAACTGTCAACGATATATATATATATCGATATTTATGTCGAAAAATATCCATATTTTTATATATCGATATTTTTTGGCCATGCCTACTAATTTGTTGAATGACATGACATGCGCGATGCGCGTGTGATTTTCGTATCTAAAGAGAAGTCATTCAAGTTTTTTTTCTTAATTCTAAATCAACAGACTACGCCAAAATGGAAGAAAATGTAGCATTAGATTCAAATAAACAAAAACAATTCGTAAAGTCTTTAAAAGGACTTAAGAAATTGATGAAGGTATTGGTTGCATTCACTTTGATGAAGGTTATTTTCGAACATACTTGATATTAATTTTTGTAACAGAAAGCTGGGGCCGGAAAAGAAAAGCCAGATAAAAAAGGAAAAGTGGAGAAAGAAGAAAAACGAGAGGGGGTGAAATTAAAACATGGAAAGGTTACAAAGAAAAAATTGAAACCTAGGGGTTTGGTTTATTTATCTCATATCCCACATGGATTTTACGAGGTTAGTAAATTTAGGCCAAAAAAAAAGAAAAATCATTAATAAAATACTTACCAAGCAGAATTTGGCGGTCGCTTATAGTTATCGAGAAAATAAATTATTTAAATCATAATTTTCACTAAGAAAGTTCACCATTTTACCAATTTGACTTCAAAAACTGAATACACACAGGAAGTGGGCGAAAATTAATTTTCTTTTAAGTATAATTTTCTTTTAAGTAATTTTCTTTCAAGTATTTATTTAACTCAAGGCGGGCGTTTGTGTAACAGTACTTTTAGTATTTCACAAAATAGCGGATTTATTTAGTGAAAATAACGTTAGTTTTAAATATTTTTTTTTTATCCAAAACTATAATCGACCGCCAAATTCTGCTTGTTGATTATTTCGGTAAAATTTCAGCAGCCCACTACTATTATATAGCAAACAAAAGAAAAATTTAAACGATAGAGTACTATAGAGACATATCACGTACGAATTAATCAACAAGTAGAATTCTGTAGTCACTTATAGTTTCATTAGTGATTTTTCTTAACTGAATTAAATTTTTGTTTTTTTCGAAAACAAAAAAGTAATGGGACAGTATGTATGTCTCTCTGCTGGGCAAAGGTCTCCTCTGTACAGAGCATATTAGGGCATAGTCCACCACGCGACCCCATTGAGCGTTGGCAGACCACTTACAGTACATACAGACCAGGGATTTGTACTTAGATTTGCTCAAGTATGAGAACTAAATGTCATTTTATTAAATTCTTAGTGATTACACATGTAGATTTAATTTGCTTAAAAATATTTACTTTTTAATCATACTTTTATTTATTTGTAACTGAATATATTTAAATTTCGTATGTTTAACGGAAGTAACAAATTTTTTTTTAATGTGAAAAGTTGCCAAAGGTGCAGATAGTTCACCTGATGTTAAGTGAATACCGCCGCCCATGGACATCCGCTACACCCGAGGGTTACAGACGCGTTGATAACCTTTGGACTCCGGCTACCTCACTTATCAGACGAAACGCGAAAGTATTTGTCATACTTCCAATTTACGCTGGTCTTCTATGAGGTTGTGGTACTTACCCAGACAGGCCTGCCCATTCGTGCAACAGCCAAGGCTGCTGCATGTCCCTACCACTGTAGGCCGTACTTAAAGTTTTGAAGTAATGTTATCCATGTTGTAAAAAGTTAAATTATTGGTTTGTATTAAAATAATGTTTAATTTGTGAATTGTATTTGCAGCATGAAATGACACAATACTTTAAACAGTTTGGTGTTGTCACTAATGCAAGAGTCATTAGATCCAAGAGAACTGGTCGTTCTAAGGGGCATGCTTTTGTTGAATTTAAGAGTCCTGATGTAGCTCAGGTTGTAGCTGAAACTATGAACAATTATTTAATGGGGAAAAGATTAATAAAATGTAAGTTATTTTAAAGACTTAGTTTTAATCCTGGTTAATTATAAACTAATTTCTGTGTTTAATTACCACAAGTGATTCTTATAGATCTTGTAAAAAGAAAATTTATATGGAACACTTTCTGTGGGAAAAATAATTAAAACTTGTATAAATTATTTATAGGCTTTATTTCAATTAAGTTGATTGGTATAATATAATGGAGACTTAGATAAAAGAATCAAGGAATAAAATTCGAAAGTATTTATATTATTTATAGTGCTTGATTATTCACTGTGCTGTTCTATATTATGCTAATTTTATTTTAAGTGGTCAGGTGTTAGGGATGTACAGCACCCAATAAATAAAATCAAATGGCTTGAAGTTAACAGATTTTGAACATACTTTATCTTAATTTACTGTCTACCTTAAATTACTGTTACATTGCACAAAACCTTTTTTATGATGAATTTGGTAAATTGAAAGTGTAATGGGAAAATTGATATAAACTGAATTAATTTGTTTGCGGTATTAGAATGTGGTGTTAAAGTTTAAAGTTTGTGTAATTGCGTGAGTGTAATTAATGAGCATGCTGAGTACAAATTATGTTTGTGATTATATTCTTTACTTACTGTCCAAATTTAAAAAGCTATGTGTAGTATTGGTGGACTTATTTAATGTAGTATATGTGTTATAATTTGTAACATTTAACTTAATTAATAAAAATCTGAGTTCCATAGATCTCTTCTTATTAGTTATGTATTCTATTGTTTCAAAATAATAATAAATGAAACCATGAATGATATTGATTTCTGTTGTTTAAATGTCTATAAATGAATTTCATACTAAGATAATACTATAAATAAAAATCATTTTTAGCTGTATATATTCCACCGAAAGATCAACGAAGAAATGCTCGACGAAAGAATTGGAATGATCAGAATAACCCTGGAACCATAAAAAAACTACAGATGAAAAAGGTATGTTGTATGTTTTTACCATAGTTTTTCTTCGCCCTCTTTCTCTTATTTGAGGTTTATAACTTCGAATGTGTATCAAAATATTTTATTAAATTATTATCATCTATTTTACAGGCTTATAATTCTATCAAAACAGGAAATGATGATATTAAAATAGCAAACAAATTGTTATCCAAGTAAGTGTAATAATTAACATAAGGTTTTTTATCATCATTGTATGAACTTATTAATGTTAGTTTAAGTTTTTATATTACTGTTTTTATGTATTGTTCTTGCTCAATTCCAGTTTATCAAATACAAAGAGTAAGCTTAAAGAATTGGGCATAGACTATGATTTTTTTACTCCAGTAGATGTGCCAGAAGTGTTGTCTGACAAAGTGGTTATAAAGAAAGAAAATGACAAAGGTAAGGGAACAGAGGAACAAGAATAAGGGATAGTACAAACATCTTGTGAAGTAAGCCTATTAATAATAATTCCAAAAATATTTCTTTAACAAAATTTATATTTACAGATGCTCAAAATGAAATAGAAAAGAAATCGGAGAAAAAAGGGCTTAAAAGGAAGTTAAAGGAGAAAGATTCTAATGTATCTGAGGAAAATAATGATAAAAAACATATAAATGTAACAATTGGTGAAGTAGAACAGGCAGATGAAGAAGAAAATAAAAAGTCTAAAAAGAAACAAAGGAAGCAGAAGAAAAAAAGTAAAACAAACAATGACAAATTAGGTTCAACTGTTAATAAAGAAGGTATTGCAAACAATAAAGAAGAACAGACCGTAAAGGAAACTAAGAAGAAAAATAAAAAAGCTGTTTTGTTGAAAAAAGTTGAAACTGAAGATCAGCATGGACAGAAACAACCAAAAGTGAAAAATGCAGAAGTTAAACCTCCAGAAGATTTTATCAAGCTAGGCAATGAACAGGATGGAGACAGTGACAGTTCCTATCAGTTTGACTCTGATGAATATGAAAATATGATAAACAATGATGATTCTGAAGACAATCTAAACAGCGGTAGTGGAGATGATGAAGGATCCAATGATAAAATTGTCCTTAATAAGAAAAAGTAAATTTATTTTTAAAACTAATTTAAAATTGTAGTTTATAAATATTGCAATGTTTTCATCTTTTATATTGTTTTATTTTTTCACAGCAAAGGTGCGCCTGCGAAAAATAAGAATAATAAAGGTAAAAAGAATACAGTACAGACAGTAGACATAAACAGACCGAGATCTAGACAAGGGGAGCCAAATAAGAGGAAAATACCTGAAGGTGAGTACTTTTATTTTCGACGTTCAAGTTAGATTTTTTTAGCTAAAAGACTGAAATATATTTTCAGGAGTTGCGGTGCAGCTTAAGAAAACTAAATTTGAAAAGCAAAGTAATAAAAAACTTCCAAATAAACAAATAAAGAAGAGAAAATAAAAGATTTGAATAAATTATTCTTTGTTTTATTTGATGATATTAAATCCCTAACCTACTAAAACCTAATATGGTAATCCAGTGTGGCAGAGATGCAGTAACTTTTAATGCCTTAAGAATAGGCGGCTCAAGTGAGGATATACCGCAAACTATTCTCATTTTGTAGAGAGTTCTCGTTGATTGCTTGTATGCTTCTTATGAAAAAATAACCTATCCTGGTATCAGATTATGAAAAGTACATAATTGGATATTCTATATTCGTCGCAAATTTCTGCGGATTTGCCGATTTCGCATATTTTTGAATTATATATTTTTTGTTATTATTTCGCAAATACTGAGCACGTGATAAGTCAGCTTTAAACCAATTTTATTCATTGGTGCTGGCACCGGGATTTGAACTCTGGTTGGTAGAGTATAATGAATTAAAATCGTAAGTCGTCTACGGATCATTTCGAATTCCGTCACCGAACTGATGTTAGTCCGGACCCTCTAGTGCATGTGTTAAGAATCGATAGCACCGATCATCGAGAGCCAAATATTAGTAATGGACTAGAAAAGTCACATTGTTTAGAGCCTCCCAATCTAGAAGTTCCACTTTAAGCATGGTAGATACTCCTAGGCTGGTTTTCTTTTAGAGGAGTTCAGGCACATACCTGCGGATGGTAGCTTCTCTCCACTGGTCTCGGTCGAATGTATGAAAAAATTGTCCTAAACTGCGGTTCCTCTCGTACTAAGCAGGAATAGTATCGCAACGACTAGCCATTGCAGGATAAACTACCTGTCTCACGACGGTTAGTTACATGCAATAAAATAAATCGATAAATAAACACATTCGGCGTCCTAGAACTTGCGAATGTTCGTAAAGGTTGCTGAGCCACATCTTTTCTTGCCGACTGTGGATATGTTGTGGTAATTCGTAATCCGGTGACATATTAGTATAGACAATCAACTAAACTTCGCCCCAAACGACTTTATTATGATGAATAAGTTTAAATGATATTGATTCAAGAACAGCTGAATCTGGACTAACTTTTGCCCAGCGTCAAATACTGACTAAAATAATTATTGCGAGAAAAGTGGACTTGAATTGTTGGATGTACATCACGAAGCCATAGTGTTGTAAGGGCATTGAACATGGTCTTACACTAACCCTGTATGAGATAACTCCGTGGTGCAGTGGTCAAGGTACTGGATTCGACGCGGGCGTGTTCGATTCCCACACGAGACAATTATTCGAGTTACCCCCAGATGATTTTTTCGAATCTGGGTGTTTATCTATGTGAAATTTACGTATATAAAACGTCTAAAGGCATTGTTTTCGAAGGGAAGACTACAATAGATCTTCTTCAACGTTGGGACATACTAACCAACCCCACACAATACAAATAAAACCCTGTATTAACTTAAGGGTCGTCGGTCCAAACAGATTTAAATGAACAATTGTGACAGTCAAGGCTCCAAGGTTAAGTAAGTTTTAAAACTCATATACTCAAATAAGATTTTAGTCAAATATTTAAAATAAAACGCGAATTCGGTACAGGTACATTTATTGACTTTAATAATATATTCATTTTTTAAACACCTATATATAATAAACATAAATTTTATACCAAAACCGTACATCTATTAAATTGGACCTATTATGGACAACTACTTAGTGATTATTGCTAAGGTTTCTTCTTAAATTGAATATGCTCTGTAACTATAGAAATAATTAAATGTACACAGTACACAAAATAGACCTTTATAAATTCATCATTCTTGGGTAAACATTTTGTATATTGATATATAAAAATTTGAATAGAAACTGTTAGTCTGTAAACATCTTTGGATACAATTTTTTTGACAAAATAGAACTAGTTAATAGAGAACAGTCAAATACACAAGGGATTCTTATAAAATATAAAGATAATATAGGGTTTTATGCCAAATGGCAAAATTCACATGTCCAACAACATACAAAATTGAAATCCCAAGGAAGACAAATATCATAAATAAGAAAAACTGAAGATTCATTCATTTCCCTCAGCTTCATCCAGTTTTACAATAACTGGTCTTTCATCTTCTTCATCAGCGTCCAATCCAGTGAAATCCCATTGTAGTTTATCTGTCAAATTTTCCTTAAATCTCTCAATCATAGTCAATAATCTGCCATCAACTTTGCTGACATATGCAGTGCGAAAGAACTCGCGCAACTTTTTATAAACTAGGTTCTTATTCATAACAATGTCTGCTAAGAAATCCTCCGGCATCTCTTCGATTTGAATCTCAATGGTCCTGATGAAATGGAAGAAAACACTCCTGTATTTGTGGATAGCGTCATCGCAAGAGCAGATCAATATCACAAGGTTCTTCCAGTGCTCAAATGCTTCTAAAGAATGGCCAATGAGAAAGCACAAATATGCAAATTGCAGCTCTCCTATGATGTGGAGTGGCCTGTAATAATGTAAAATTTAATATTGTTAACAGTGGAAAAGAAAACTTCTTGTGAAATCTTTCAAAAGAATCTTTTATATGGAGTGTATAAAGTCCTTGGATACTGGCAGGTACAGTGTTCAACATAATGGTGCGGTTATCAATGGTGCTGCTTAGGTATGGGGTTCAATCCCATGTCTCTCGCATATTTGTACACACTGTAAAGAGCTCATCCATGAGAATATTGGGATGGTAAAAATGCATGATTATATGTAAAAAAATGTCTTTACTTTCGATGCACATAAGAACAACTATCTACAGGGATATTTTTTGAGAAGTGCCCAAATTTACACAGGAGGTTCAGACTCGGTAGTATAATCATTTATTGTAATAAAAAATAAATTTTTTTTTTGAAAAAAAAAATGCCATTCTATTTCCTAAAAAACAGAACATGTTGACAATGCGGTAGTCATTCATAAATACCTAAATTTTACTGTGCATGAACTCTTGTGCATGTTAGTTATAATGATATGCCTGAAAAATATATGAGTTGCGTATAAATGACGCACTTTTTGAGATAAGTTCAAATGAATGAAATAAATTACTAAGAGTGATTTAAAACTGTGAAATATTTATCATTTTTTATATAACATTATTTATGTCTAGAATTTAATTAAAAAAAGGGATACACTTAGAAAAGCCACCCTGTATATAAAAATTTTATCCCATGTGCCAGCACTCTTTGTTTGTGAAAAAGACAAATGTAATTGACAATGGTTTAATTAAATAGCTTGGGATTATAGGAAAGTGTCAAATTGTAATTTTTGCCAATAAATAAATATGAACAAAATGTGTTACATAAATGGCTTGTTGTGCACTATATCAAAAGGTTTTTTTTTAAATATATCTAGCAAACAAGCTTCTTTAACAATGCTTTCCACCATTAAAGAGCAGTTAAAAGAAATATATTTTTATGTGCTGTAGTTTTGGACTTTTCTATGATATTCTTTTTATATAATTTTTGATTTTGCTTAGAAAACTTACTCATCATGCTGTGCAATCATGATTTCCAAAGTGTAAGACTGATCCAGGTAATGCTTTGTGATTTCTTCCGGTGTTGAACCAGGGGGATACTTGTCTCGAGGAATTTCTGTGAATCGCATAGCTGTACCTAAAATAATGAAATATGAGATTTATATTAAATAATATGTATATTGGTATATGGATTGCAATAAATAATTTATCAACAACTATGGACTTAATCTACATACATATTTAATACTATAGTTCAAAATATTAAATTAGGCGAATGAAGCAATGTTGAAGGAAAATAATATTCTTATTATGGATAGTCATTTTTATCATTTAACCTTTGCAATGAGTATAACACTTATAACACCTTTAGTTAAATGATTTCCTATTTAATTCTTCTCTTATAGATTGTATCGTTTTATTGGGGATAAGGTTGGAATTGTAGTAAGGGATAAAGAGATTTACTTATAAATAACACTATAGTGAAAAAACAAATAATGTGGCTAATGGCCAATAAAACGTAAAACATTTTTGAATTATTCACCAGGAGCTGGCTTTAAATCTGGCAGCATGGCCTCTTCCTTCTCTTCCCTAGTTATTCTTTTTGCTCTTTTCGCATCAGACTGTCCTGAAGAAGATTCCTCCTCAGTATCTCCCACTTTAGTGGATGATTCTTCAACAACCTCCTCTGAATCCATAGAACCTTCAGAAGACTTAACACCCCTTGGTCTTTCTGCATCAGTCATAGAGAGCAACTCTACTGATGCTCTGATCAAACCATTTTCCGGAGACAACTTTGCAGCTAGCTCAGCTGAAAATCATATAAAAGAGATAATTATTGCATTGGACTTATTCAATTGTCATTATTGAAAAAATCAAGAGACCTATCATATATATCATTGTCACCTATATAATAATGGTGCATAAAAATTGAAGCTTTATTCAAAGGAAAATTTTAATTTACCTTTACTCATAATTATGCAATTAAAAATTCCATAAGCTTTTGTTATAGACATATATACATTATAAGAAAATAAATAAACAAGTAATATTTACTAATTACATAAATAATCTCACCTGTTATCTGTGATGTTAAAAGCCTCCACTTTTGCCAAATTTCATAAGGATAAGGAGCCAAGTGTCGGTCTAAGTTGAACAAGTTGTCTTTAAGCCGCTGAATACTCTCTTCACTAATTTCTTCCTTGCTGATATCTTCTGTTTTTTTATCCCACATTTTTACGATGAAATCTTTTTTATGAAAATATTGCATGAATCCTGACCTACATTAAAATAGGAAAGTAAATTATAAGCTACCAGCAACTTAAGACCTTAAGAAAAAGTGAATAAAAGATATGATTTTATCTGGCATTTATTTAAAAAACTAGGCAATAGTTTTCTAAAACTGTAAAGAATAAACATTAAAGAGTATTTTGAAAGAGTCAAGGGAGCAGGGGATTTAAAAAAATCTTTTTGGTAACTAAATGTAAATTACCTGGGTGAAACGTCGCCTGTGCCTTTGCTAACGGCGGAATAATGTACGTAGTGTAGCCCTGGTGGTATCATCTTAATTCCGCGAAAATCTTCCTCCGTATTCCAACATTGCATGTCAATACCAAATTGTGTCTCTTGAGGGACTCCCAAGAAGACAAACGTTCCCCCTTCAACGAGAAGCTTCTTTGCCGTCTCTTGGTCCATCATGAAATGTTAAATTGTCCGCTAGTCAATAACTTGGGATAAAAATAAAAAAAATCAATATGTTTACATCGCTGTATGCGGGTCAAATCAGGACAGTGACAGAAGTGACATTTCGTTCGAAATCACAATCCTTTAGGCATAATGTACTCTTTGCAATCCTTTTAAAGCTTGTTTTGAAGTGTAGTTCGCTATAAGCTTAGCTAAGCCCAACGGGTTTGACATTAACGTTGGAAGAAATCCGAGGATAGATCATAATTTCAGATATATAAAAGTACTCTTTGGGATAGATTACCTACCCATGGATTAAGGGGAGAACAACGAAGCTGCTGTTCAATGACGTCATCTGCGTTGCAACTCCGCGCCCTCTGCAGACAAGAGATGGAAAATTAGGGACATGACACGAGCCCCTGATGCAGGTTCGAATCTCGGCTTGATTGCAATCGAAACTACAATCTGCTAAGATGAAGCAATCCGGTCGAAATAACGATTTTCAGAATTACGCTCGAAACGCACTTTACGAAAATAAATTTATGAAAACCGTTTATTTAAATTTTTAGTGAATATTAAACCATTAACGTAGATGCAAGATTTATATAAATACGGAGAGACAAACAATTAATTTGCGAAAACAGAAAGTCTCATAAAATGTGAATTTTTAATAACTCTTCATTAAAAATAGTTGAAATAAATAACAAAACAACATAATATTAAACAAAATTTAATTAATTAAATTAATAAATTGACATTTTTCTTTTTACTCACTTTGGTCAGTCAAAATAGTGACGCAAGAAATATTTCATTCCCTAAATTTGGGGCTAAAAACCCTAAGTTGGCAAGCCTGATTTTACTGCATTTTAGAAATGCTTGTCGCCATCTAGTGGGCATACTTTTCAGCATGAAATAACATTTTACAATGAATATTTGAACGAGAGATCACCACTATTAAAATTACTGATTAATTTTAATTTCAGTGCTAGACTCTTCACTCAAGATGAAATTTGCACTTATTATTTGGAACCAAGCGGGTGGACGCCCTTTTCTCAAACTTTTTAAGCGGTAGAACTTTGTACTCGGGCCGAGGTCACTATAGGCACTATAGGCACGAACGCGGTCGTGATGTTTGTCGGGATGATACCGTTCATAACAGGGCGCTCATGTCAAGGCCACCTTGACGTGCTAAGTTGGAGAGGATCTCCCGGAATGCAATTATAGCAGGCTGCTTAACGGTTAATCTTAAATCTTTTTTTTTAATTTAAAATGAGGGAAAGTCAACTTGTCTCAAAATACAGGCTGGTAATTTAAGATGATGTACCCAAATCACATTTTCGTGGGGTGTCAACGCGAGCGAGCAGCTGATGCCGGCGAAGGTAATAGAAGAAATAACTTATGTATGCATTAAGCTCCGAAGCGCTAATAATTAGGTCATGGAAGAAAACAGTGCTCCATAAAAAAAAATTAAATATAACAACCGTGTTTCATAACTAAGAAATACTTTTTTATTTTACGCGATTATTCATATCCATACTGCAGTGATAAGTGATTTCATTGACATACATGTGTGAGTTGAATGATTTCTATTTAAGTTAGTCATGCATTTGTAGTCTAATAATTATAAGCGAGTAAGTATTAAATGTTCAGTATTATAATTATTAATCTTTAAAACAAATCGTATTGATTATTCTTTACTTTAGGAGCCCCTGCTGGCTTTATAGATAAAATAAATATTTCAAGAAGACGATAGGATTTTGTTATCATCGCGAAATATCTTTGCAATACTTTATAACCAATGACAAAGTTTTACTTAATGACCGCATGTTAGATTCGTACCCGCCTAAATTATAGAGTTACCAGAACGGAAAAAGTCGGGACGGGTTTTATTTCTCTTTTACACATTTAGTGAGGCGAGCAGCCGTGCCAGTGAACACCACGGAATAGTTCGCTCCGTAAAAAAACAGCACCGAAATCCAGCATTGAAATTTCGAGCCGCTGTCAAGTGACTGGCACAGAGGTCGCTGTTAGGCCACGGCACTTTTGTTTTAAACACGGTTTTTTTGCGTAATTATTTTCAACAGGTGACGAATAACTCGTCTCGAGCACCGCGCTGCGCGACGCTAGCGGTAATCAGGAGGTATTTAGGAGTTTGTTGCCTCCAATCCAATTAGTAGATTTTAGGCGGAACACAGGGGAAGGGATCGTGAACTCTATCTTTACGTTTTTCTGGTTTCTATTGCACGACGCAGTTTCCACGGGGAAAAAGGACAGCATAAATGACATTTGAATTCTGTAGCTCATATGAGTAGTTTAAGAACATATGTTGAAATTAATTCATGAAGTGTGAATAAATAAACTTTCATATGGCGGTTGAACAACTTTTGGTCAACAATGTCTAAGACAAAAATTTTTTCGAAGATAACTTAAATTTCGATATTTGATTCAAACAATACAAAATGAATATAATCATAGTTTTAGGTTTGTTTACCAAATATAATAAAATATGATTGAACAGTACAATAAAAAAAGATTTATTAAGAATGAAAAAAAAATGTTAAAAAATAATTACTTTACAGACAGATAAGAAGAGCTTGACACAAAATTTACGACTGTGAAATTAATAGAAAATTATTCAGGTGAGAAGCAAGCTACTACTACTCTAATAGGACTTTCCACTCTAATAGGGTGGAAATCCCACTCATGAGATGAGGATTCAGCAGAAAATAGGATACGAACCCACTGATGTTCCGGCCAGTAGGTGATCGCGTGCCCACTGGCGGACGAGCACGATTGACACGCCGAAGAGCGACGACCCGTAATGGCTTACGAGAAAGAAACCAACCTCGTCCAGTGTCCTTCTGGTAGTTTGGGTGCTGACAGTCACCTGGTGTTGCGATCGCAGCCTCTCTACGAGTTGCCGCGCAATCGTTTTTTAGCTCCCGTCTGCCAATGTTCCTAATAAAACGATAAAGTAGGTAATATTTTTCATATATTAAAATAAACCGGCCAAGTGCGAGTCGGACTCGCGCACAAAGGTTTCCGTACAATTATCTATAAAAAGTATATTTGATAATTAGGTTAAACAATTAATAAAACTAATTTAACAAAAAAAGAAATCAAATTCATCATAACACAATAAACGTAATAGAATAGTTTAGGTTTAAGAAATTACCAATTCTTATAGTTTGAATGGAACTAAATAAAGCTCTTTTTATTATTATTATTATCTATAAAAACGGTAAAAAAATAATTTCTGTTGTATGGGCCCCACCTAAATATTTTTTTATTCTTGTTTTTAGTATGGGTACGGAAACAGAAACTGTCTCATCTCTCTTTAGATATCGGAAATCTGCCAGGATGTCGTTTAACCGTGTTCCCAGTGAGTCGATAACATTGCAATATTCGGGTAGCAAAGTGATTGGACTGGACAGTAACTGCTACTTCACGTTGCAGCATCAAGCATGGCAAGCTTCAAGCATACCTACAGTACGTAATATTATAACTCGGCATGAACTTCGGCACTTTAATGAAGGCATAATGTCTAACAAACCAATCTTTAATTTTAATTACAAAAAATAAGGAAGACTTAAGAAGACCGATCAGCTTAAAATCTATTCAGTAATGATGAAAATTTAAATAAAAATAATAGGTAGTTTATATTTATTTTCAGATTATTAATTTTTTTAATTAGTATTTTTTTTGCTTTCGATTCATTGGTGGTTATTGTTTGTAAATAATATTAAATTTCTTTATTGTAAAATTCAGCCTTAAGAACTTGTTAATGATAAATAAGTAATTATTCTGTAATTCTTATTGAAAGTTTTTTTAAGGAAAAGGGGCTAAGCGATCTCCGCCTCCCATGGATATTTGCAACATCGGTTGAATCGCAATTGCGTTGCCGGCCTTTAAGGTAGGAGTAGGCTCTCTTTTTGAAGTAGGTAACCTTTAAAAAGAGAGTCGTATCGGTCGGAAATACCGCTGGCGACAACTCGTTCCACGAAGTAGTTGTGCGGGGTAGAAAATTTCGTGAAAAACGCACAGTGGTGGACCGCCAACCATCAAGGTGGTGTCGATTGTACTTGGCGGTTTGACGAGTTGTACGATGGTGAAATTCACTGTTGAAATTTTTGAGAATTGACCTGCACAGGAAATATATAGCTCATTTGTAATTGATACTGTTCTGAGAATATAGTTAAAATTTCGTTACCTAGAAAGAAATACAGGAAAAGAATTGGGTACATGTAAGCATACGCTCTTGAAATCAATTTGTGAAAATTATGATTTTAAAGTTCATAGAAATACGACATCTACAAGTTTTTAGAATGTTAAAAGGTAAAATAACTGGACATTTTTTCTCTTATTTTTAATTTAAAACGTGCTGCAGAGCACGGTTTAGTATTTCAATTTAAAATTTGCGGCTTAAAATCTTTCAGAGGAATTACGACTGGTCGGAATAGCGATGATCATTTGATGAATATTTAAATTTACGCGATATTTTCTTGAGTACCAATGACATTTCTACAAAATATAAAGATTTTTGTATTGCATAGGTAGCAAAAAAATCACATCATTTGTAGTCCCAAAAAATTAAATCCATTTCTAGTGCACAGATTTTCATAAAACTAAATATTTCGCAATGTATGGACGTTATGTGTAAAACTTATACATATTTACATAGTGATGTTCAAGGGCCCTGAACTAACTAAAAATTGTATTTCAGTACCCTGGAGTGCGATTTGACAGTATTAGGTATTATTAGTTATAATATTGGTTTTATTAGAAAGTTCTTCGTTCGAGACAGGGTCACTATCCACTACGCTAATTGGTTCGTCGAGTATGTATTGCACTGATATAAATGCAAAAACTTGATTTGTCTATGCATATGGTATTATTAATTATAACCATAATTATTTCATAAAAATATATTAAGTAATAAACTTTTTTAATTATTTATATTAGTGTATTCGGTGCAGTGCTAAATTGCTAATTTTGACACTGCTGTTTTGCAT